GTTTTTAAATTAATAAAATAAATAAATGATTTTATGCTATCTGCATCTTGAGATTTCAAGAATCAACTTAGTTCTTATCACTAACTCTCCAACACAAATATAATAAATAAATTAAAAATAATTATAAATTAATCAAACATTCTTGTCCAATTGCATCCATTTAAAACATTCTTGTATAATTGTATAATTTAATTAATGTTTTAAGAATCAAATTGTATCAGATGGTCGAACCAATAGAACTAGGAATTGAAAGGGTCATCGGTCTTGTCTGGACTGATTGTTAGAATGGATATGATAATAAACCAGCGGGAATCGGTTAGAATCAGTTAAAATCGATGAATCGAAAAGGTCACCGATTTTATTTTTGAATTTAAAGAATTAACTTTTGAAAATGTGTTATGATATTTTTAATCTGAATCATCCTATTGACCAATTTAATTAATATATAATTTTGTTATAAATACTGATTTATTCAACCAAATTGTTCAGTTTAATGCATATAATTACGCATTTGACTAGGAATTTAATGGTTCAACAAATGAATTAATAACTCAATATCATCGTTAGTTTGGTAAGCCGTTTGATTTTTAAAACATTACATTAAATTTAAATGGATACGTAAGCACAATTAAAAAAAGAAATGTCACTTAATTCAAAATCAATTTTAATATTAGATTATTTCAAGAAAATTAAAAATTAAAAATGATTTTGACTAAAGGTAATCTGTATTCAACCAAAGCTTGTGTAACAGAGAGTTTACCTTTTGAAAATATCTCTCAAAAAATTATTTAAATGCACGTGTTAATATCGAAAATAGGTGAACATAAAATTTAAATTTGTAATTAATTTTAAAAGTAAAGAGAATTAATTTTGCTAATGTGAGAAACCAAAACAAGTAATTAGCTATTGAATTCTATTTAATATGAAAATCAATTATCATATCAAAATTCTCTTTACATTATCAGTCGACATAATTATATAATCGTATAATATATTCTATTCTCAAAGGCATTAAAAGATAAAATGATATAATATATTCTATTATTAAAAGTATTAATAGTCATTTAAAAAAAACAACATTCTTAAAATTGTGACATATATACACTTTGCACATATACACTTCTAGGATACGCCCATTTTGGTTACCTTTCAGAAAATAAAACAGTCATGTCCCTCAAAGACCCTTAAATCAAAAGATTATAGTCCCTCGATGACCTTACAATGTTGCCTTTCGGTAAATGATCTAGTTCCTTAAACAAAATTGCTAAAGTGTCTCTATATGTTGCCTTTATGACTGTACGTCCCTTCGAATATCCCTCAAACATCCAACGATAAGGCTACCTACTCACTAATAGTAGGATAGCGTTGTCTAAAGGATAGAAGGAAAAGAACAAACCTTTTGAGTATAAGTAGATAGCTCTTAGATGCTTGCTCAAAACAAACTTTTGCATTTACACAAGACACTTCAAAAACACTTGAGGACTAATACAAGAGTTATCATAAAGAAAATTGTCACACTAAGGCATTTTCAAAAAATACTTTTCAAAACACACAAAGCACAAGGTATTTCAAAATGAGCTAAGCATCTAAGAGCCCGTAGAAAACTACGGATGGAAAGGGTGCTAACACCTTCCCTTTCCATAATCTACCCCCCCTTACTCAGAAAATTCTCGAAAAGGTCTTTTTCTGTTCTTTTCACCCTTTCCTTTGTTGGATAAAAGAAAAGTCGATGGAGACTCTTCCTTATCGCAACATTTACGAACACAGACGCAAAACCAGTATAACAGTCGGTTCTGCCACCGTATCACAGAACTGGTGACTATGCTGGGGAAAATAAGAAGTGGAGTTACCTTAGAGTTTAGTTCATCATTTTAGATTGCTTGTATGCTTTGCATGCTTTATCTTTGAGGGTTTGTTGGGATATTCTTGTAAAGACCCTACACTCGGATCTGGGGCACATTTTTAGGTAAACAACAATAGATCGTGGAGATTGTACAGCGTAAATCGATATGGTTGAAGCGATAGCTGTGTTGGTGTGATACTTTAGTTGGTACCGGTATCCCTTGTGTTAAATCGAGGAGAGTATGGGGCCGCTGTGTGGTGTCATAAAGCACTAACGGACCTTAGAACCTTAGTTGAACAAACTTGGCCATTAGAAAGTAGTGAGATAGCCAACCTCGGTATAAAGACGAGGATTGGTTGATACTCGATGCTATACTCATTGAGATCAAACTTTTAGGATATTTCGGTCGCGAGAAAATATGGCTTGAGCTGAAATAATGCCTGATAAAGAAAGATCAATGATATTGAGACTCCTTAGAACCAGGTTACTTTTCTAAGACAGGTTGAACCAATTAAACTTCAAGAGGGTATTTGCCTATAAACCCCATGCCAGAGCCTAAGGTCTTGTGTGTTTTGCTTGTCTGTGATTAAACTGTTCCAACATAACATCATGCATCATAACATCCATATTTCATTTCACTAACCATTTCAAGGACTAGGGGAATTTATCTTTGTTCTATTTTGCAGATCATGGCTTCCGATCATAAAAACACCAAATGAATCAGCTTTTTGAGAATACCTCTCCAACTCAAAGAGCTAGTATCAACGGTTCGTGAGACTTCTCATTTACCAAGAAATATGGTCGACTTCTTAACCTGGTTACTACAAGCTTTGATGAGAAGATGATGGGGGTACTCTTTCAGTTCTTTGACCCCAAGCACCATTGATTCATATTTCCCGATTATTAGCTGGTACCCGCCATGGAAGAGTTCTCTCAGTTATTGGGAGTACCCATTTTGGATCAAATGCCTTTCACCGGTTTAGAGGAAGCTCCAAAGCCAGAGGTCATTGTAGTTGACTTACATCTGAAACGGTCTAACATCATATCCAATTGGGAAACAAGAAGCATATTTAAGGGTTTCTTAGTCAAGTTCCTATTGGAAAAGGCTCAGTTATTTTGGGATGACTTAGATTTCCAAGCCTTTGAAGAAATCCTGGCTCTTCTAATCTATGGGTTAGTATTGTTCCCTAATCCTGACTTGCTCATAGATGTGAATGTTGTTAAGATTTTCTCTCCCATAATCATGTGCCTACTTTGCTCGGAGATATCTTACATTCCCTCCACACTCGTACCATGAAGAGAATAGGGGTTCTTATATGTTTCATTCCTTTGTTGTCTAGGTGGTTTATTTCGCACCTTCCTCAATCAGTATTGAAGAATGAACAAGGTTTGGGTTGGTCACAAAGGGCATGTCACTTTCTCATTCGGATATTTTTGGTATTCCAGATCCTTGGGAGATATTTCTATCATTGACCGTTGTGGTGAATTCCCTAATGCTCCACTCCTTAGCATTAGGGGAGGTATCACTTATAATCATTCCCTAGCTCTACGATAGTACGGTTATGCTCGGAGGGATGCCCCCCATGATATGCTGATCCAAGGCATTATGTTCAACTACGAGGATGATGTTCAAGGGTATCGTCAAAGGTTCATACAAGCTTGGGGCATGGTAAATAAGATGGATAGCAAGACGTTGGGGCATAAGAATTCCATTACTATGGAGCCTTATCTGAAATGGGTACGAGCCCGCGCCCAAAACCTTATGTTGCCATATACAACCATCTTACCAGTGATTGTAGAACCGGTCGCTGAAGAAGATGTTCCTTATACAATTCTATATCTTGATATGCCCACTGATCTTGAAGAGTTCCAGAGGTCTTAGATTCAGCTGAAGGAAGAACGAGATACCTTTAAAGATCAATTCCATACTAGTGAGAAGAAAGTGTGGGAGCTCACAAAGAAACTTCACAAATAGGAAAGTCTTAATGTCTACCTCGGCACGAAGAGGAAGCGCCCATGGGAAACCTGATGTTTAGATTTTAAGAGTTTTAATTGTAAGCCTAAAAGGCAGTTGTAATTTGAATTCTACTAATAAAATCTTTGTTCATTTTGGATCGCAAATTTAAATTTCCCGAAGTCCTTGAAAAAATCGCATAAGCATATCATACATTTCTTTTCATAAGCAGGTATTTCGAGACATGTTTCTTATCTTTTCGCTGTTTATTTCAGCAAAAGAAATGGCTCTTGAACAAATAGTGAAGGACCTCCAAGCTCAAAATGCTCAGTTTCAACAAATGTTCCTGGCTCTAGCTAAGGGGCAAGAAGATCTGAAAGCTCTGATCGTCAAAGAGAAGACCAAGAAGGCAAAGAAACCAACTGGTGTCTTGAATTTGGGAAGAAGGTTCAGAGGACCGGCCAAGCAAGCTCTAGATTTCGCAACCCCGTCAAATGAGGGGGACAATCAAGAAGAGAAGCCAACAAAAGAAAACAACAATTCAGGGTCTGAGGAAGATGAAGCTGACTATTCGGAGGAGCAGTATCCTCTTGTTGATGATAAATACAAACAGCTGGAGGATCGTCTCAATGCTATAGAGATCCAGAGGGTGCCCGGGATGAATTTTGAAGAGCTAGGACTGATCTCAGGGGTGGTCATCCCACATAAATTCAAGGTCCCTACATTTTATAAGTACGACAGTGTCTCCTATCCTGAGTTGCACTTAAGGTCATACGTCAGGAAGATTCAACCCCACACTACTGATAGGAATCTGTGGGTCCATTTCTTCCAGGAAATTTTGGCAGGGACTCGGCTGGAATGGTTCTATCAACTGGAAAGAACCAATATTCGTAATTGGGGAGATCTGGTTGCTGCTTTCTACAAGCTGTATCAATATAACGCTGACCTCTCCCCAACTCCTACACAATTGCAAAGTATGTCTATGGGTTCCGACGAAGGTTTTAAAGATTATGCCTAAAAGTAGAGAGACCATGCGGGAAGAGTCCAGCCTCCGTTGTCTGATAGGGAGCTAGTGGACATGTTCTTGGGCACGTTGTCTGGTCCGTTCTTTAACCATCTGATTGAAAGTTCTTCTGCTGGGTTCACTGAACTAATACTGACGGATGAACGAGTATAAGCTGGCATCAAAAGTGGTAAAATCCA